TTTTTTTTTTTTTTTTTTTTTTTTTTTTTTTTTTTTGGAGGAGGAAGAGAGCAACAAATTAGAATATACTTGTAAGCATCTTAGATCCTTAGAAAGATTTATTGTGCATTATTTGAATCCTATCCATATTTTTTGAGTAATTGACTGTGCTGTTCCTTACTCCTAAATATTCCTGTAAAGGTGTAGGCATGAAAGATAAAAAGTCTTTTCCGCTTTGCTGTTTGAAAGGGGAAGTACTTGGAGCTTCCTTTTCAGCCATTTCGTCTACACTAACACTTTGGAACCTAATGCTGTGTAAGCCTTTACGATACGTGGATTGGCCTTTTGTAACCCCAAATTGGTTGGTTGCCACCTTGTACTTTGCAGTGGTTCTCATGCAAAAAATAGTTACAAGTTTTGTTATTTGTTTTTAAACCAACTTGATGTCTGTTGGATAGTGAATTCACAAAAGCTGAAGCTTCTCCCTGTGCATCTTGTATCTTTGCCTTTCAAGAGTGGTTGCAGCCATCCCTAGATCGCGCGCGTGCCTGATGAGGTTGAGAACCGTGGGGGCTCTCATGTAAGTTAGGACGGGGCTGCTGCCTCATCACTCCCTTTGCGCGCTCCCTGCCTTAAGCGACAAGTAGCAACGGGGCTTCGTCCGTGTGTGCCGCTACAACTCAGTTTTTGCACCCTGGGTGCCCAGGTGCGAGTATCCTTAGAGCTTTCTAGCGTGAAACTTAATTCTCGTCTTTACCTGTCTGACCCTCAACCCCATGTCTAACTTGCATTTAAAAAAAAAAAAGCTTTCTTTACAGTCAACTCAAGCTTAACGTGGACTCAGGTTCCCCAGCAGCCTTAATTTGTTTCGTTGCCATCTGTCCCTTCCTCTTAAAGAGTGCCCCCCTAAATAAGCAGTTGTCACCTATCCTTCAGAGCATCACATCTGTCTAGTCGCCTCGGTTTCCCGTGTGATCACAAGTCGACCTCACAGCTCGAGGTTTCCTGTGTCCTGTTCTGTGGACCACCTGTGCTCCCTTTGCTTCCCCGCCCCTCACATAATGACTATTAAGAAATCTTTTTGGCTTTGAGTTGGCTGGAAAAAAAAAATTTAAAAATTAAAAAAAAAATTTAAAAATTTTAAGGAGGATCTGGTAGATTAAGGGAGCAGAAGATAAGAGCTAGATTATTTGGGCGAGCAAAGTTAAAGTACCTGCTGGGGAAATGTGTCTAAATCTCCCTCTCCTAGGTCCGCACGGTTAGGGCTCGGGGAGAGCATATTGCAGCTGGAAGGAATGCCAAAGTCGAAGGAGGTTGGTAGGGTGAGAGCAGGAAGCAGAAAAGGGTAAGCCAAAGAAGGGGGAGTCCTGATAACGTCACCAGACCTAGGAGCGTGAGGAAGCAGTTGGAAGCAACATCAGGAGCGGGGATGGGAAGGCCAGGATGGGAAGAATGAATGAGCAGGATATCCTGGGCCTCTGAGAAGAAGGGGCCGTTTTGATGGCATGGTGTAGGCGAGGGCCAGCTGCATATGAAGACCCGAGGTTGGACACCTGGGAGAGCTGAGGGACAGTGAGGCACGGCCCCAGAGGAGGACCCTGAGGTGGGGGCCAGCGTCAGCGTCGGTGGGGTGAACCTGCGTTCGTCACTGTTGGCAGTATTAACTGGTAGAACCCTTCAGAAGGCGACTTGCCAAATGTCAGGGTGTCCGTTCCAGCCTTTGCTTAGTGAAACATTAGGAACAACTTAATGCCAAAAATAGGAGGACAATTAAGGGAACTTGTCGGTGGACTCCTAATGCAGCTGTTTAAAAATGATAATCATGGAGAGTTATGTAGCAACATGGAAATATATTTACGGAATACTAAGTGGAGAAAACAGGACACAGAATTATATTTATACTATAGTTATAACTGTTTAAAAATGTATGCTTATAGTCAAAAGCTGTCGTGGTGGTGGTGTTGTAGGCTTATAGTCGAGCATTATTTTCTTAAATTCCTTGAATGTTCTTCATCGTAGTGTTACTAAAAAGTTTATAATCACGTTTCCATTGTGAACATAATTTGAACTCATTATCAGGCACTTGGAAAACACAGAAAAGTGGAGGAAAAAAAATCCATATACCCCCTATCCGAAGACAGATATATCCTCACTATATTGTTTATCCTCGTTTCTGTGCACAGGTTTATGATTATAACTGTGTCAAAATGTGTACTCAGAATAACTGTTACCTTTGTGGAATTATGGTTAAACACTTTCATCTTAATGTTTTCAGATGTTCCTTATAGTAGTGTCCTGATAACAAAGTTTATTATGTTTGTTTCCATTACAAGCATAATACATACCCAGAGGAATAATTGGAAAATACAAAATAAATTAGAAAAGTCGCCCATATCCCCAACACCCAACAACTACTGTTCACATCTTGATCTGTTTTCTCCATCTCATGTCAGTGCACAAGCTTGTGATTATGACAGTGTTGAGTACGTGTGCATAAAGTCTAAAATGAAAAAAATATGGAAAATAATTAAAAGAGTGTTGTCGTTATGGGATTATGGTTAAACATTTTGTCTCAAATTCCTTGAATGATCTTTGGTGTTTTGGTACTAAATCTTAAGTATGTATTTTTCCACTACAAATATAGTACATACTTATGGCAGACTTCGGGGAGATTCAGCAAAGCAAAAGAAAAGAAATTCACCCATATTCCCGACACCCAACAACCATTGCTGTTGACACCTTGACCTGTGCACAGTCTGATGACTGCCGTGTTTGTGATGAGTGTGCAGAGGGTCAAAGATGGGAAGAGACACAGAAAGCAGTGAGGAAATGGTGTGTGAGGTCATTGTGGGATTACAGTTAAGTATTTTGTCTCGGTTACCTGGGACAGGCTTTCTCACAGTGTTTTGGGAACCTACCTTTATTCCATGTATTTCCATTATAAACACGGTATGTGTTCATTACAGAGACTTGGAAGTTACAGAAGTGTAGAAGAGAAACTCGCCCATATTATCATCATCCAAAGACTGTGGTTAACATCTTCATATATTTTCTTCATCTTGTTTCTGTGCACAGGTTTTTGGTTTGTTAATATGGTTGTGGTCGTTCTATCTATCTGTAATAGTGTCAACAATAAAAATAAAGTTAAAAATAAGATACTTCTCAGTCTCTTCTTTTGTCCATTTTAAGTGTTTGGGGTGGTTAAAAATCCAAAAATTTAGCGTCTCCTTAGGTCTTTAGGGTTAGTTTACAAATCTTATTCCAGTTTTAATTATTGCATATTTCAAGAGTTACTTCTAAGGGATCTTTTAGTACTACACGATCCCACATTTTTAACTGCACGAAGAAAATTAAAACGTATATTCCAATAGTGTTTGTTTTGTTTTGGTTTTTTTGCGGTACGCGGGCCTCTCACTGTTGTGGCCTCTGCCGTTGCGGAGCACAGGCTCCGGACGCGCAGGCGCAGTGGCCGTGGCTTACGGGTCCTCGCGGACCGGGGCACAAACCTGCAGTTCTCTGCATCGGCAGGCGGACTCTCAACCACTGCGCCACCAGGGAAGCCCTGCAGTAGTGTTTTAAACTTGATAATAACCGCAACAAGTATGTTTCAGTTACTTGAGTTTGCATTTAAAATTTTAATCCCGTTTAAATATAATATTCTCTCAAAAACAAGAATGATCCTGTAACATAGAAAACATGTTGCTGTTGTGGAGTCTCTTTAAAGTGTCCGTCCCTCACTCTTCCATGAGGTTAGATGGTTACCCCTGGTGGTGCCTGACTGACTCCAGGGTGGTCACAGCGTCGGTGATCCTTCTACGATAAGGGGCACCAGCGTTGGTCAGGGTGTGAGCCCCAATTCTCTTTTAAGACTACGAAAGGAAGTCTAGGAAGGGAAGGAAGTGAGGGTCGTTGGGGTTGCTTGACGGGCATTTAGGGAATTATTTTCTCCACCCGCACCTCACTTGCAGGGGTAACTGTGCCCCTGCCATGTTTATTCCCTGAGGTTTGACCCTTCCCTGGCCTCAGCTGATTGGTACCCATGGGTTCCCCATGTCCAGTCAGACTTGGGCTGAGGGCCACCTGGGTGGTCACACAGGCTGGGGCTGGGTGTGTTGGTGAACAAGGCCACGTGCCAGAGGGAAACTTGGTTCCTGGTGCTTCACCCACCCCAGTGCCTTAGGGATCCTGGCTGAACTGCCTACCTTTGGGTTCCCTAAGAACTCCTGCCTCATTACAGTAATCGTCCTTGCACTCGAGCTGGCTTTGTAGTATTTTGCTGTTTTAAGCAGCCCCAAATCATTTCCCCTTTCTGGGAACCACCGAGTCTTGGAATGCCACAGTGCCCTGCCCCTTCCCTGTCCAAAGGCTGAGCCCTGTGCCAATCAGGCTCCCTGAGCAGAAGGGCACACAGAAGTCATCCCAGTGGCAGCACTGACCATACATGAGTTCCTGCTACAGACATAGCCAAGAGCTGTTCTGGTAACTGTCCTTCCTGAGGCCTGATCGTTTAGTTCTTCCTTTGATTCTC